AATGACTAATGATGTTGAACATTTTCTCAGGATTCCTCTCTAAGGGAAGCCCCAGAACTAAGCCCAGGGCTCCGCCCACAAGGACCAGGATGATGAACGCCTCCTCCTGGTGTCTGGCTGCAATTCTTTTACTGGTTCATTCACAAATGATTTTAAGAATCTGTATTTTTGTGAAGGGGTCCTGAGAGAGAACTGGTTTTTGTGTGACTCACCTTGAGCTTGCAGAGGACTGCAAGTGGGGTGAGCAGATAGTAATACCGGAGGCTCTGCAGTCCACGGGGCAGACTGCAACCCCTCCACACCACAGATGTGAGGTGACGGCTGCTTCAGACCAAATGGAAGACTCGACTTACAAAAACTGACCACAGGCTGAATTTGAACTATGACTCACAGTTTTCCTACTTCTGAACCAAAACATCTATTTTTCCACCTCTCACCCACTCCCCGTCGCGCTTATGAAGTTGGTCAGGTTGGTGGTTTTGCTTGTTTGGTTTTTTAAGCATTTATCTTTTTCAAATTTGTGCTGGACTTCGCCTGTTCCTCTCCCCTACCAAGATCTTTCTGAGCCCCGATGCTGCCACCGTCCAACCTAACCTCTGTGTCTCTGAAGTTTGTGCCATCTGCCCATGATAGATGGCCTTGGCATATGTCCATCCAAGTGACTGATTAAAATTGTAAACTGGAAAGATCTGAGGACAGAGCCTTGAAGTGTGCAACAAGCAGCCTCTCCCCCGTCGATTCTGCTGTTTTCTTCAGGATCCAGCCCGTGTCACTGGCAGGAAGCCCTCCTACAAGCCCCCTGGCCACCCCAGCAGACCGGCCAGGCTGAGGTCCGCAGCACCTCCGGTGCACTCTCCCCTGGCACCACCAGCACTCTGGCCTGGTGTCTCCTCCCCTGGACTGCACCGCAGGTGTTCGATCAGTGTAGGCAGAATGAATGAACGTGTGACATTAACCCTCCCTCTGGCAAATTGTTCCATGTCCCAAATGCCAGAGTCTAAAACTCCAATGCCTTCCAGGGCCAGAAAAGTAATTTAATTGTGTAAAGCTATTTGGTGTGGATCAAATAGCTGCGTCCTCCTAAGTACTTCTTTCCCTTGCTTTCCTCGGAGCACCATGGAGGTGACCGGAATTTAATAATCTGGCTGGAGATAAGAACTGCGAGAGCAGCCCAGTGCACCGTATCTTCCCAGATTACCTGTGCGGTTCTCTTTCAGAAGATTGTCTAATGTCCTTATCACGCAGGGCCAAGAATTATGGCAATTTCAGGTGCTGTAGGGGAGACATTTTGGAAAAACAGTATGAACACTTTATTCATCGGACTGAAATTATACTGCGCTGGGCACCTCTTATTAGGCCTTTATATAAGCAAAGCCTGAACACGGATTCTTTGAAGAACACACATCCATGTTTGTGTTTTTGACACAAACACAAACAAGATGACAGAGAATATTGACAGACACCATCTGTGCCCTGTGAAGTGCCTCCAGGCCTGTCCCCAGAGTTGCAAACAAAGCAACTGATACCTTCACCTTTAAAACCAATGTCAAGCCGGGCATGGTGGTGCACACCTACAATCCCAGCACTTGGGGAGGCTGAAGTAGGAGGATTGTTACAAGTTCGAGACTAGCCTGGGCTA